TTTATATTTAAATATTTATAAGTTAATTTAAATTTGACTTGAAACTTGATTTGAATTTGACTTAACTCAAATAAATTTAAGTCAAAATCAAGTTGAGTTTAATTCAAGTTGAGTCAAATTGAATTGAGTTTAAAATTTATATAACTCGAATTAAGTCAAGTTGAAAAATTTTATAAAATAAATTTAACTTAACTTGACTCAAAAAAATGAGTTGAATAGAGTTAATCCTTAAATTTGACTTGACTTGACTCAACTTATTCAGAACTCTAGTTTTTATTATATCTAAAAATGAATATTTTTGAATTTTCAGAAATATCAAATTTATATATAGTGTATAATATTTAATTTAAATAAAAATTTATAATTTTATATTTTACATAAATTTCATATAAAAATTTTAAATAATTATTTTTCAATAACATGTATATTAATTTACTATAAAATTTATATTAAAATATTCTATAAGTAATAAAGTTTTCAAATACCAGTTAACTTTTTGTAAAAATTTTTTTGATTTTTAGCTACAATTCTGATTTCTATATAGAATTAATAAAGAAAAATATTTTTTATAAAATAAATGTACATTTTGAATAAGTTTGCATCAAGCATAAATTTAATTGACCTAAAATTTTAAAGATAAACTTTTTTTAATATTATGAATAAGTTTATTTAATCCACATAATACATTAAAACCAAAAAATTTGAAGCTTAATTATAACTGAAAGTTTGCATTAAAACCACTAAATTTTTAGATAAGTACTAAAATATTTAACTAAATATAATTCAGATCTATATAAAAAATTTTAGGATAAATGTTATTTATTATGATGCATAACTTTACTTAAAGCACCAAAATTGAATTAATTAATAAGAAAAGAATTTTTATTAGAGCCAATATTTGCTTATCAATCACATGACTTTTAAGGTATCAGATACTTTTGATCACCCACATAGTTGCAACTAATTATAATGCTGTCATTAATATTAAATTAGTCTGCTCAATTATCTGATTTAAATATGATTAACATTTATAAAGTAAAATAGAATAATAATATAAATTTATAAAAAATAAGATTGAATTTTGAAAAATGATTCAAATAATATGAAATAATATTAAAATAAATGTTTATGTTAAAATTTAATATTTTGATATTATGCTAAAGTAAATTAATGATATTTTAAGCCAAAAAAAAGATGATTATACAAAACAGTAAAATATATTTTTTTATATATATTTTTATTATATAATTATTTTATAAATTTGTTTTTTCAAATTTATAAATATTTTTTAAATATTTTATTATAACGATAATATAATAAATTAATAAATACAGAAATTTAATAAATAATAAAATTAATTTTTTATTCAAAATTAGTTTTTATCTAACTTTTTAAGATACATATATAAATAGCTTAAGTTTAAGACTTTTAGAAAATCTATTTAAATAATTATGATACAATCATATGATTTAAAATAATCAGTTTTTTTTTTGTAATTCAGATTTGCGTTACTTTTATGATGATTTATACTAAGTTATTTTATCAATTTATTAATTTTAGCTATTTTGATTTTTAATTTCTCTTTCCACAAGTTTTTATAATGAGAAAATCAACTGTACTATTATTTACAAAAGCATTATTGATAATATTTGTCTGTTCTGCAAATTTAATTGGACGCTAAGAGAATGTCAGTTTTTTATTATTTACAATTTTGCAAAAAATAGTTAATTTAATTTAGAAGTATTAAATTTTCCAATATATCAAATTAAAATATTTTTTCCGTCTTTGTTAAAAACATTTATATGAAAAATTGAAATAATTGCGCAAAAACTGTACAAAATCTAAGAAACTTATAAATTTTTTTTTTATAGGGTCAAGCATTAGCTTTATTAGGATATTAGGACAAATCCGCTAGTATATTAAGTTTATGGTAGATGTAAATAATTTGTATAACTAGAATGAGGAATTATCTTCGAATTTTAGCTAGAAAAGATAGTGTCGTATATTTATTCTCTAATGTATTGATTTCTGTAATTTATCCGAACTTAAATTTAAATTTAAATTCTTACGTTGTATTACGATTGGACTTACTCGAAAGATCATGATTTGTTAACAAAACCGCTTGTTATGTTCCAAATTCTCTACTAGCCAGTATTAAATGTACAAAAAGAATCTATTAATATTAAAGTATATGTTATATCACGTACGAAATTTTTTACCTTAAGGAAGATTACAAAAAAAAAAGTGAACGAGTTACGAGTTTTAACATATAAGATTGCTTTTATATTTTAATTTTATGATTCTACTATATTCTGTATACTAACAAAATTTAGTCCATAAAACCAGTGATGGATAAGTAATTTATTTATTTACATAAAAAAAAAATATAAATCCTGCGATCTGAATAATTTATTGTCATTACATTAATTCGGTTGCCATGTTTTAAATAATTTAATTCGCTGCTTCTTTAAACTTTTTAATTCTTTTTAAAGATTTTCTAATCCCAGTAGATGAAGAAGATGGGATTTTATCATTTTGCCTTTTAACCTTTATTTTCTATTAATAAAAAAATCAGCAAATTAATTAATTTAAATTAAATATTTAAAAAATAAGTATTAAGGTGAATTGAACTTTTACCTCAATTTCATCAGTAATAAATATATAACTATTATAAGCATGAGATACTAGTAAACCAGTAGGAAAAAATCTTTCAACAAATCCTATTTTAACATCATTTGTCCACAGACCTATAGTAAAATCCAAGAAATAAGTACTTATATTTTCGTTTTCCATATTAGATTCAATAATTAAAAATCTATAAATAAATCTTTTTAATGCAAGAGCGAATGCTTCAGCAGAAATCAGCTGTTGATTTTGATCAGAGTGATAAATTACACTATCATTAATTGAATCCTTCATTTGCTGCATTAACTCGACCTTAAATTTATCTTCGATATTATGTATTTTTGAATTTGCGACTTGCTCTTCAATTAATTCATAAAATGCTATAATATGTTTTAAAGAAAATTCTTTAAATATGTTTATTTCTATACATGCTATGTTATATCTTGATAATTTCAACCATTGGTTAACAAAATCCACAAGGAGTATATCGTTATTTGTAAGTGATAATTCTTTAATAAAGCAAAGAATCATTTCTAAAAGGAAGAGCAATTCTGATAAATCAGTTGAATTTAACGAATTCTTTAAAATAAAGGAAGTATTCGTAGGCTGACACATCGCTAAAATCAATAACATTTTGTCTTCCGGAATAGGTTCTTGTAATAATACCTTTTTAATATCTGAAAAAATTCTTAAATGATTATGAAATAATTCATGCTTAAATATATAATTTTTTGTATAGGAACCATTTTCTATTTTAAAATAAACTTTGTTGAGGACCAATTTTTTAGCAAGTTTAATTTCAATTTTTTGTAAATCAAATATGAATTTTATATCCTTTTTCAGACTTTGTTGACTATACTTTAATATCTTATCATCATATTCATGATCAATAAAATTAATTTCTTGTGCTTGAATCACCTCAATTGATTTAATCAAACATGTTCCGGAATTAGGATTATTCCAAGACGAATGCTCCAAAAATTGAAGGCATTGTGATTTACCAATCGGAATGGCCAATACATTATCCAAAAATTCATTATGTAATTGAATCAAAAAGTCTAAAATCGCACATAAATAAATTCCGTTATCCTTTGGTTCAATTAAACCAAATATAACGGGAAGTTCAAGATTCATAGATGGTTTGTTAAAAGGTAATTCTTTAGATTGATATTGAATAATGAAATTAATAACGGAATTCCAAGCAAAAGCAAATTCTTCAAATAAAATTTTTAAATTAACCATTTCATTCTCATCTAAAGATTCTTTCTCAATAAATTCCTGAAACGTCATGATTTGAGCTGCCTTTCTAGTCAAACAGTAATCAAGTTTAAAGTTCAAAATCTTTACAAATCTAATAATTGGATGGAGGTACTTGATAAGTTTTAATTTCTCATAAAGTTTAAAATATACTGAAAGGAATGGATGATTTTCGAAATTTTGCATGTTATTATAATAAGTACGAAAATCTTCAAAATTCACTTTTCTTGTTGGTTGCCAAATCTTAGAAAGGCCTTTATCTGCATAATTTCCGATCCATGGAAACATCCTTTCAAGTTCTGGAGTTTTTATATTAACAAATAAATTTCGTTGATATACAAAGTATGTTTGTGAGGATTGTATAAATGAATGATTAAGTTTCATAAAATTATTAATGTTTTCAATCAAAAGTTTAAATAAACGATTATCTGCTTGAATAAAATCCTTCCAGAATTTATATATCAATTCTTTAAGAAATGCTATCAAGATTATTTGTTGCAAGACTCCTTGTTTAGTAAAGGTTTCATTCGAATGTTTGAAATAAGGTAATAATTCATTCAAATTAAATTCGCTAAAAATTGATTGAATAACCTCACAGCAACGCACTGCTATATCTGAATTAATGTTTTCGATAACATTATTAATAGCATTCAATCTAATTGAAAGCTCTAAAGCTTCTTTGGAATTCGTCATTAATGTAAAAAATATTTGATTATTCTGTTGGATTTCAAGGACAAATATTTTTTCAATTATTATACCACTGAATTTAAAAGGATTTCTTGAAAAAATATTTTTGTAAAGAACTAGCCGAACCTCAGATTCTAACGAAGTAAGCTTTAAAGTTCTTATAATTAGGGATTTAATAGGACCGGTATCAATAATATCATCTAAACTATTAAATACTAAATTAATGATATCAACTGTAATGAATTCTCGCTTCTTGCTAGATTTGCCTAAACTAATAATTTCTTTGATTTTTCCTAATGGAATCAAATTGATTTTTAATAAATCACTACATATAAGTAGTAAATTTAAATTTGTATAATTCATTGTATCATTAATTTTATCTAAGAGAGATAATACGACATTAATATCTTGTTTCCATGATTTATTGTCACATATATTTTGTAGAATTAAATTAATTGCCTCTCTAAAAAGATATTGATCAAGTTTTCCATGAACAATAAAGTCTTTTTGAGCCTTTGTGATAATACTTGGAAACATTTCAACTAATTTTAATTGAATTGAAATATTATCTTCATATTTCCACCAATAAATATGAAGTAGAAATGGATCATCGATTATTTTATCTCCAATTAATTGTCTTAAAATGAATCTAATACTTCTTTGCTAATTATTTTTTTAGAAGCATAAAGTTGATAAAATGATTTTAATAAAATCATTATAATATAATTTTGAATATTTTTGCAAGACTTTAAAATTTGAATTGATAGAAATTAAGTTATCTTTAAAATTTTCTAAATGTTCTTCAACCAATTCTTCATACAATTCTTTATGAGTAATAACTTCTGGATCTTGCTTGATTATATTTAATTCTTCATAATAATAATATTTATAATAATTTATTTGATTCATAAAATAATATGAAAAAGGAAGTTCAAGATCTTTAATCATCGAATGTTGAATTATATATGCAAAAGGCTTGGGTTCGGGTAAACTATCAATATTGATTATAATGTTGTCTGTAAAGAATTGTTTCCATAAATCAGATAACTCTTTTTTCAGTTCGGATTCACATTGTTGCTGATAATTTTTCAAGTGAATATAAAACTTTAGAAATCGTTTGTTTAATGATTACCTTAATATAATTTTGTAAAGCTAATGTAAAGCAAGCGAATTTTGATAAAACTTTCTTATTTAAAGCTACTTCATATTGCCAATATGCAAAATTCTTTGAAATCCATTCAAAAGTTTTTTCTTTTATGCATTGTATGAAATTTAAATCGCTTAAAATTCTTTTGCTTAATACACTAAAATTAATAAATCAATGGTCATTAAAATGATAATTATTTAAAAGATAATATAAATATATAGACCTTAAATATCATACCTACATTAGATTGTTTATATTTTATACATGATAAACACCATAATAATTCATCATCCAAAACTTTTTCAAATGACATTGTTGAAACGGCTGTTTTTTCAAATAAATTTACTAATGACATCTTTTGTGATACTAAGGATTCGATAGTAATATGTTTCTAGCGGCGCATGAAGTCAGGCGATACTAAACTTGATTCATTATCTCGTTTAACATGAAATACTATACACGCATATTTCATACATGTTTCATTTTTTTGCCCTAAATTCATTTTCGAACTGCTCCATAATACGTTTTGCCAACTTAATACATCCAGCATTATTAGCTGCAACATCACATTGAAGGATTAGTATTTGGTCAGTTGATTCCAGAAAGAAATTTTTCACCAGTTTTGAAAACTGTGCCTCAGTCCTTAAGAATAACGAATTATATACTTGACATCTTAAAAGATCTTGCAAACAAGACTTGAGATCGATATTAATGTTAGAGAAAGTGTTAACAATTAACAAGTGTCCTTTGCTGTCCAATAACGATTTTTCATGATTTAATAATAAATTATCAAAAAAAAATCGTAAAGGCTATCATGATGTTGTTGTTGGAAATAAACGTGTTTCCACTTTTCGACTTCATCACATTCTAAGGCAGACTGCTCGGCTCTCAGAATTCCATCAGAAGACGCTATTGCTATTAAACACTCCTTACATTTTTCTAGAATGTCCTCATCATCCTCAATTTCAGGATTTTCCTTGGTAACGTCGATAACTAAACTTTGTAAAGTTTCATCCTTATCAAAACCGACGAATAGGTCTTTTTGTGTGAA